TAGGTTTTAGAGTATTGAGGTGAGTCTACTGATTTACAGCTGTATGATTAAAAGGTATAGAGGTACAGACATAAGAGTGGAGTTATAACAATATATGTTAAGAATAAAGTGATTATGAGAAAAGCGTAAAAGTTTTGTTGTTTAACAGATAAATTGATCTAAAACTGTAATTTTCATAAATAGTTTTCATTTAATTGAATAAACGTAAAAAAAAACGTATTTAAAAAATAATAGTGGGAAAGGGCGTGCAAAAGAAATTTTCAAAAAAATTGCTAAGGTGAATATACAATTTTCCGAAAGTGGGAAGATGCGCACCCTCACTCAATGATGGTCACATCCTTGATAGATAAGAATAAACATTTGATTTCAAAAAAGAAATACTTTTTTTTCTTCAATTATGATTTTTTTAAAAATTTTTATTAACAAATTATAGGAAACCTATTACACATATTCAAACGTTTTCTACGTCAATTATTCTCGTCTCAATGTCAATTAAATTCTCTTCGTCTTGATATTGGTAATTGTACGATTGGTTATAATACTGATGAATGTTCAGAATTATTCTCTCATTCTTTTCAAAATTCAATTTTCGATGAATTTCAATCTTATTGTACAACTCTTTCTCGCTTACATATTCATATAAAATATACATATTTTCTTGAACATCTTATTGAATATACGTCTGCTCTCGAACAATTATCAATCAAATTTAATAAAACATTAAATATTGAACCACGTTCTGAATCATTTGTTGAAAAATTGAGTCAATCAAATGAAGATTGGTGTAATAAAGTAAGACAAAATATATTCTTGCTTTATTTGTTATTTTGATAAAAAAAAAGTATATGAGTAAAAGATAAACTGTCATATAGAATTGATTTTCTTAATGATGTATTTATACGTATCATTGATTATTTCCTTGTAAGAAAGTTTTCTCAACTGGAAAATATTTTATTAAAATTTATTTCGTTTAAAAATTAGATGACGTTATAAAATTTGAATTATTTATTTAAATTGTTTATAATTATATAAAAGCTAATAGTATCTGTTAATTTATCAGTTAGATATTACTTTTTTCAATAACAAAGTCTATTAATGACATATCCTTTTTTTTACATGAAAGACAAATTCTCATCTGAGATCCGCACGAATACAATTTTATAAAATATCAATAGTGTAAGAAATTACTATTACGTGCTAATGAAAGTGTGAAAGTTATAAAAATTTTGATTGTACAAAGCACAAATGGAAAAACAATCGATTTTAATAGCAGCTTATTTTATCTTTTTCTCATTTTCGCTTTATTTCCAAACTTATGTTGCAAATCCAGCGTTCATATATACTTTGGTTGCTCTATAATTTGAGTAGAGACAAACGGCGATTAACTGCTGTTATAATGTACTCTACTATCCTTCGATGAGGTATATTCAATGGGACAAGATTTGATTTAATGTTGTTGATGTTTAGCATCAAATTTGAAACCAATGTGGTTTGGATGAATCTCGGAATGATAAAAAAGTGTTCATTTGTAATTTGCACTACTTGATCGTGGAAAAAACGTTTTCATTCGATCGACTGCTCTTCTAGGCATAATCTAGTAAGTGCTACTGAGATATATCTAGAAAGACAATGTTCGAGCTCACTCCGATGGTGACATGAGAATTAAATGTTAATTATTGTTTAGATAATCAATGAAAATTATGGAAATTTTATATTTTAATAGAGTAGATCTTTTGAGAAATCATATAATTTTCATTATCTTAATTCATATTATGATATAGAGAAATCCTTTTTCTCCATTGTATTCTTCTCTGATGTAATTATGATTTTGAGACGTATAATCATTTTATAATTCGTAGAAAGAATAAATCGATATTGTTAATTTTAATGAAACGTAAAAGTAAATTTAAATTTGTTATAAAAAGTAATGATCTTTTGTTAACAGAATAAAATAGTAAAAGATTTAGGTATAGATTATTTTTTATTTCTCTAAACAAACTACTGAACTGTGCTAATTTATAACAAATTATCTAAAAAAGTATGCTGATAGCAATATGTAACAACAATTAGTCGAATATTCTCAATGAAATGTACATATTATACGTATAATTACAAGTAAACCTAAGTCGACTTTTATTTCATGTGAAGAGTAGAGCAAAGATAGTACTGAAACTTTTGAAGATTTTATCCAGCGATATTGTACCTCAAAATATTTATCCAAAAAAATATAAACCTTATTTGGATAAAGTAAAAATGTATTAGCGGAATCCCTGAGAGATTAAAATGTCAAACACGATGGAGCTATTGACGCTGTAAAAGTGAGGATTTAGGTTTCTGTTACAATCTGTGATGGTGTGTTACTAAAGATGTCCGCCATGTCTGTAAGAGAGGCTGGGAGGGTGTGCAAGGTGCTATCTCTATCCACTTCAACATCCTTTTAGATCATGTTTCACAAAAATTTGAAGAAAAGATGTGGAAGATCGTTTTTAAAAATTTCAATCAAATTGTGATATGTTAACTATTTATTATTCTCTTACATTTGTATTCTGTATAGAATGAATATGAATAAATATGTTATTTATGATTAATATGTTTTGTTTTAGCTTTGTAAATTATATCCGATTATTAGAATCAATTCCTTGAAAACAATTTCATACGTCTTTTCTTCAAATGTGTTAATCTGAGCAAAAAGGCGTTCATGAATTTTTAGATTAAGATCAAATTAGATGAAATCTTTAAAAATACTATTAATTAGTTACTTTGAATAGAAGATGAAGCATAAGAAAATTCATCATCGATCGAATCCAGGGTTCAACTAGAGAGCTGCTACTGTAAAAATAATAGCTAATTAGAAGTTTATTCTAATAAGATCAGAGTCAAGATGTCTAGAGAAATGTATAGGCTGTGCTAGTTGATGAATTGAAATGATAGAGAAAAGTATCTCGTATCTTCGAGCGACTATCGAATTTATTAAATTGAAAAATTCATTGAGAATATGATGAGTACGAATCGGGTCCAGTCCAAAAATGTTCAATAAACTAGGTCCGAATTCAAAAATTTTGAACCCGACGGGCTCTATTAACATGACGTGCTCAGATACTTGACATAACTAAAATATGATAAGATATTCAAATGATTAAAAACTCTTATGACATTTTAATAAGAAGATATACTAAATTTAGTATTAGAAAAGAGTTTTTATGTTGATTTGAAAATTTACTAGATAAGATTGTTTCTAATTAAGAATATTAGTCTTTCTTACACTTCTTAGAATTTCAAAAGATTGTGCTCATCTGAAGTATTGCAGACTGTTTATTTAATAGAATTTTCTTAAAATATATGCTACGCTTGATCTGTTTTTTTTTCGATATTTCTAAATTGTGTAAAGAAAGAAAAAGTAATATCATATTTTTAAAATTTATATAATCAAATACTTGATTTTGATATAAATAAGAACGAAAGTTGAGTTAGTTAATTATAATCAATTTAATAATGATAATTCTTTCATTTCTTATATAATCAACAGATTGTAAAAGTCAAACGATGGAATTCTTCAATATTTTTATTGTTATAGAAT